TCTGGCGTGATATTTGGGATTTTAGCCTTGGCAGACCATTTACATGCACAAAAACCTAAAACACTACAGGAAAGGGAAAACCCCAAAAAGCAGAATAGGGGCCTTTAAACTTGCTTTTAAAAGGGTATCATGACGGTGGTTATCAACTTGTAGTGAACTCAAGGCTCTGTGCATTTTTCCACAAAAAAGGAGGCTTTTGGTACAATTTATTTCTAACTTACATAATGGACCGATTGCGTACCAACTAATTCTGCCATTTTACAGACAAAACTAAAGAACTGTTGCTGCAAATAATGCGAAAAGGAATGATGGCAATAAAAGACTATATGGTGTTAATCGTAGGTTAAATATAGACTTGGTGTCACTTTGGTGACATTGAAGGGGCCCCTCAGAAGGAGTGTGGCCAGCAGCAGCTCGGGTTACATTTAAAGCTACGGACCCAGAATCAGCACTTTTGTAACAAGGCTGAAATAGAAGGGTATTTGGCATGGCTACAATGGGGGATCTGTTTGGCATTTTGAGCAAAACACTTCAGAGACATGTTTTGTATAGATATGGCCCTATAATATATTGTTCAAATATAGCCCAATAAGTCCCAACCTACCTCGCTAACCTACTCATCTTCCTGGTACACCCCTGTAGTTTAACCTCAACCTGCTGCAGTCTTTCTTTAACTAAGGTTTGACTTAAACTTGCTTTAAAGGATTGATGACAGTGGGTATCAACCTGCTTTGATAACACAGATTTTCTTCCTCAGGCTCTGTGCGTGTTAAAAAAGGGAGCTTTTGGTGCAATATATTACCAAATTGTGAAAATCTGTAGTGCAAATGTAGACATGGTGTCCCTTTGGGGGAAATATTGTCTTAAAGCTCAACATAGCTTGCTAAACTACTCATTTAACTTCATGGCACTTCCATCTGGTTTAACTTAAAAATGCTTCTCTTCTTGGACTGAGTCAAACTCAGTTAAAGTCTTTCAGTTCAGTCAGACACATTTATATTGGTTAGTTTTTATTGATTTATCTTTAACAATGTATGTTCCTTTAAAGGAACATAAAGTGGTAAGTTTGCAAGTTACTGTATGTTGTGTATTTTAAAAGAGGATGCAAACACAGATCAATGGCACAGTCGGCAAGAGAGGCAGAGCGGCCATGTCTCCTACCATCTGCATCAATAACATTGAGGGGAGGGGGAGGAAGTAGAATGGATGGGGAGACTTCCACTCAACCTGCAGAGCTCAACAGCATCAAGACAGCTTCCTGAAAATCATTTTCTACCCAAGAACACTACAAGATCGTAGACTACCAAAGACACGTCAGTGGTTTTAACTTTGAATGGAGTCCAAGGATATCAGAATCAGCAACAAATAACAAGATGACCGCTTTATAGTCCCATGTCCTGAAGAGTTTAACAACTCAAAAATAGTTTCATTAAGACATACAAAAAAATAATAACTCTAGGACCACCAAAGGTTGACATCTTTTCTAGGGGCAGATGGATTTTGCAAAAGTATTTTTGCTTTTGCAAGTTCAACTTTACCACTCTACTGAATTCTTATTACATACGCTGAAACAAACAAACCGTCAGTATTGAATGCTATACACATTGAATACTTGAATAACTGTTATACAGTTGTTGAAGTCCTGAGGATCGTTTAAAAGTAACAGACCTAAAGCTTGCAAAAGTTTCAGTTAAGTGTCAATAGCTGTTAGCTAGTAATATGATGTTGCATTCAGGGTAACACAGAAGCTCACATTCCCAGCCTCCTTTTGATAAAGTAAAATACAACTTCAATCAAAGTCTGAGTTTCTGTCAGAGATTATTCAGGCAGTGGGAACATAAAGCAGAACAAATATATGACAAAGGTGAGGTTTAAAAAAATGTGTAACGCTAGTACAAAAACAGCTAACCAGGAAACTGAGGGTTAGGCTATATGCCATATATAAAATGCGGGAAAACATACAAAGACAGGACATGAAACCAGACATGACATGAGGATCATGTTTGGACAAAATAAAACAGGAAACAGAACAACAAAAGGCAATATCATGACAGTGTATTCTTGAAAACTGGAGAAATATCCATCTACCCTTCATTTCTTAGCAATTTGAACAATGGAAGCACACATTGTAAATCAACTAAAAGGCAACGTAAAGTACATTCGCCTGTATCCAATTCAAATAATACATACGTAAAATAAAAATTGTATCGCAAAATATGTAGCCAAAGCAATTTTGCAGCTGGCTAAAGAAAACAATCTCTAAAATGTATCTACGCTGCTAAAGGGTTGATTAGGGCTAAGCTTGCCGCTCAGGAAATTACAAGCCTGCACTGCTGAGACCTCGATTGTGTGTACAATTTCCAATGAAAAATGACTTTGGCACGGTCAGCCTTTTTCTTGTTCATGTTTGGCGACATGCACCTGGCCTACTTGGAGGTTGAAAAAAAGTAATGACTCTCCACTAGTAAAAAAATGCACTCCGAGTTCTATGGAAGGCAGCACAACATACTGTATGGGTTTCAATCTCCCCGAGTATGTGATCTGAAAATGATGACTAACTACCTAATGGGAATGTAATCATGATGCATGTATGCATGGCATAACCTCAGTATGGTGCATTACTGTAATTGAAAGAATAATAACTAATATGTGAGTAATGGTTATTCATTAGCTGTGAGCTATTTGGAGGCTGAGTCAGAGTGAATGAGAAACAGCTGATAAAGAAGGTGTTCCTGCAGACTGAGGGTTTTACAAATACTAAGGTCATGAATTGTCCAACACAGCAATTCTATCTCACTATAACTTGGTCCAAATGCTTTTAACGCACTTTCCACAGGGCAAGGATGGAACTCTGGTGCAGAAATAATAAATCACTTTAACCCTTAATCCTTTTAATGTTGTGTTTGGGATAATGGAGGCACTGAGACTCTTGACTTATAAGCTTAATATTCCATTACTTCTCCTGATTTGATGACTGCTTGTCAACAGGATATTGAACTGTAAACATGTTTCAAAAGTAGCAAAAGAAAATTAAACATCACTTTTGTATCAAGTCTCAGAAGTTGCACACAACAGGGATGTATAAGCTACAATTTCAGTTGCTTTATAAATGCAGCACCACTCTTCTCAAATCCAAGGTAAGTCAGTTTGGATTTATTTGATTGGACTCCTTTAAAAGGCATGTTTCCTTTATTTGGTGTTCTAACAATGCTTTATGGCCATTCCTGTTTTTTTCACAACCCCTATTCGATTCCTTACTTTATATAGGGTTCTCTTGGGGGCATTAGAACTCCATAGTAGCTATAAATGTTGTTACAGTATACATTGATTTGAATGATCGTTATGTATATTGCATTTGAGTTGTTCCTAGAGTCTGCAAACTGGATCAGGAACCAGAGCTTTAACTTACCGAGCTCCTATTCTTAGAACCAGTGTCCAGTTACTGTTAGGGAGGCAGAGAGCGTCCCCACATTTAAGAGTAGGCTAAAGACCTTCCTTTTCAATAAAGCGTGTATTTAGGGCTGGCTTCAGGCTTCCCTAGAACATGCTCCTGGATCCTACATTTAAGGAAATTGATTTGATTTGTATTTATTTGATTTACATTTTTCATTCTATCTTGTAATTTCATTATATTCTTGGCATATCTTTAATATCTATGTACATTGTCAATAATGCTTGTTGATGTGTGAAGCCAACTGAGACAAATGTGTTGACTTTGGGCTTTTTAAATTAAATTAAATTTAATTAAATTTAATTTGACCAGATAAATCTCATTAAATACACAAATAAAACAAACAAAAAAAACATTTTAAAGCAAGAGTGCATTATATCTTATACTGTAAGCCTATAAAACATTTAAAAAAATCAATAGAGAATCCAAAAATAAACTATTAAATATGGCTCTTAAATAATATAGTGGATTTAAACTACCATATTTCCCTATTAGATAGTATAAAGTGGCAAAACATGGAATTACTTAAATACCCTTTATTGTACTTAAGTACAGTATTGAGTACAGTAAGTAATAATAGCTATTTAATAACTTCTAATTAATTATCATTGTTGTCCCTATGTCTTCCGACAGGTAGTGAGCTCCTGGTTTCTGAAGGTCAAACAGGATCCATGCAGCAGTTTTGGGGTTTTTACAGATGGCAACAACTTCCTGTCCAATGGTCTGCCACATAATAGAAGACAGTGTTTCCCGCAGCCCTGATAGGCTACTTTGTTGCTCTGAACGCTAAACACCGCTAAGCACACACTAATCCGTGGTCGGTCCTTAATCTCCTGCACTCGCTGCGGACCGTGCCAAAGTGGCTCTTTACGCATCATCATCGCTACAATCACTCCCGTGTTTGTTTGCGTAAATGCGCGGTAGTTCCAGCTGACCTGCTTCTTGCGCCCCCCTTCTCTCCTCTCCCCGGTGGGCTCAGTGATACCTCATGGTGTTTGTGCCATCTAGGGTTATCCGCCGCTCCATTGCAGTCTTTCTAGCGCAGAGACTTCACACCTCACTATCTACTCGCTCTCGGACAACTCCTGCATTATTAACAACACAAACTTTCTTTTGGGATATTCACCCCCTTTTTTCCCCCCGGCTTGGATGTGCGCTTTAGGAGTCACCAAAGAGAAGCAAGGGACATATTGTGTGTTTTCACCGACAAGTAAGTACGGCACCGCGGGGAGGATATAGAAAAACGCCTGTGCCATATAGCAGCACTGTCTCTCCCTCTCTAAAGAAAGAAATACTGGAAATACATCCACGAGCCCTTCACAGCAGCCAGCTAGTTATTTTTACTTGAAGGAGGGAAACTACAAATATTCTGTGAAGCTCTTCGTCGCAGCTTGGCTCCCGGCGAAAAAAAAGCACAGGTTTTTCAGAGCATTTGCTTACTGCTGGTGGTGGTGGGGCGAAAAAATTGTGAAGTGCGAAAGAAGAAGCGATATGCGGCTCGCTCGGCAGCTGGTTTCGCAGTTCGTCTCCTGGAATTAGTGGATGAATGGGAAGGGAGCGGCTGTATCCTCGAACCGGGGAAAGAGAATACTCAGAGCAGAGCCTGCGGTGGCACACAATGGATACTTGTCCGTCTCTAAAGGTAAGGAATAACCTTTATTGGGTGTGAGAGTTTTCTGCTCAGATTTAAAACTAGTAGTTTCTCTATATGTGTTGGACATTCTGCTTACATTTTCCATGCAACATCTTTCCACAAGCTCTGGTTTATTTAGCTGTTAACGCACAAGCAGTAGCCTATGTTTATGGACGCATTGCTTGCTCTATCTTGCAATTACAGGTAATCCGGAGAAAGTAACAATGCACAGTGCTATGGAGATTATTTGCATTTTTGAAATGTACATAAGTGGGGAAAAGGTCGCAGCGTTGCAGGGGAATCAAGAAGAGAGCTTGGATAGTTGTGCCCGACGCATACTAATCCAGGGTGTGTATGAACGTGCGTGTTTTTTTGGAGGGGTGTGAGAAAGAGAGAGGGAGAAAGGAGGAGAGGAAGAGATTAGCCTGCTCTTCCCAAAATGTTCCCTTGTGATCGCAGAAGCTTTATTAAAACTCCTTTTAAGTTGTTTGTGCGCACGCGTGTGAGACAGAATAGGGTTATATTATGTCCTATGTGCTGATTTTTTTTAAACTAGCAGTCCCTATAGAATGTTTTCATTTGTGTGTCTGGTTAAGGGATCGATGGCCGCCTCGAGGCATCACGGGAAGCAGTGTAAAGCCAACACCCGCTGTAATCACCACCCTCTTGTGGATTACAAGTGTTAGCATGGCAGTGTGGAGGTAGAGAAGCCTGTTCAGCACCATGGACAGTGCAGAGAAGTATGGAACTGCAAGTAGGAGGGGAGGCTTTGACACCCACAATGGGGCATTTATCGACTTTTGAATGGTTGCTATGTTATTCTCCTTAAAGCGTCACTCTGTGAAGGATTTGTCTGAAAATAGCTGAGACTTTCAGATAAAAGCGCTGCATTTTACTGAAGAGTTTCTACTGTGTTTGAAAACTGAATAGTTCTGACTCACCGAAAAGAGCACTCTATACAGGATTTACCTTGTATTGTTGTGTAATTTATGTGAGTGGATCCCACTGCCAAGTCTTCAATGTCTGTGGATGGACCAAAAATAGCTCGTCTAAAAGAAGATTAAAGAGCCTCTCTAGTTTTGTCTTTACAGTATGATACACAGTTTATTCTTAGGGGGTGTCACCCAATGAATTTGACTCTGGAAATGTTAAATTCAAGTACTTCCTTAAATTATTACCTGCAATAACCGTTTTGGTCACTAGGGGGAAGAATATCAAAGTTGTAAACGAAGCATTGACATATTATCATAAGTTTATTTAGTGACCTTTTTAGCAAACTGTTTCTTATTTACATATCCAGCAGTAACAGAGCCAAATTAATATTTACTTGGACTATCGTTCGTCCACCTGTTGAATGTACGTCCAGTTTTTTCTCTCTTTTTGTTCTATTTTGGCTCCTATCACCTCCTAAGGGAAATATTTCCTGATAATATAATGATTTTCAGAAGGCCACACCCAATTCAAACCTGACAAAAACACAAATAAACTAATCTCAAATAAAGTAATCATATTAAATAATCGAAACGTTTCTACATAAGAAAATTCTATGCTGAGTGTGACCCAGTCACTCAAAATAATTCCAAAACCACATTTTCACGGCCTATACAGTTTTGAACAAGATCTATTATAAATCAAAGTTACACCACTGATAGTGCACATCTGTGATGATTACTTTCTTGCTCTTACTAAGAATGTAGTGCTCTGACTCTAATACTGATGGAGATGTGCTTTCAATAAGAGTTAGTTGACAGCCTCAGTGCTTCAGTATCAGAAACTAAGGGGCACTGACGAGGTGTGTATTTTGAGAGTTTGAAATAAGACTGCCATTGAAAATGATCTGTTTTTGGCTCTAGACATAATTAACATAGTTTTTAATTTCAGCTAAATCCTTCACCGCTATCACCTGTTGGTTGTTGGCTGCATAGCAAGTAGTTTTGTTAGCATCACATATTGTTACTCGAGGACGAGCTATGTAAATCATTATTATTGTGGTATTTAGTTTCTCATCGCTAACAGTCACAACACAACCGTCAGAAGTGCCCATCTGATATGTTGATATCCCTGGCAGTTATTGTCTGTCAATGCTCCATGCCAGAATGAGGCTTGAGGGTTAATGCCTTCTGTCAAGATGCTTGCTGAAATTGATAGGCCTGTCTTGACAGATGAGATAACCTGCGATCGCAAGCAAACGCAATTTACGGGTACAGGCAGATGGATGCTGAGGATGCACTCAGAAGTAGGCCAGATCTACCTTGGGGAGAGGCCTGCCATACACCGAAGGAGAGTGCTGGAGCGCTGTTGTTCTGCAAGGGAAATTATGAGAAGGGAGAGGTGGGAGGAATGGAAACCAGAGGACTGTTTTATTAAACGCCACACACAGTGAAATAATAAAGAAGGGATCAATCGCTATTCATTTCTCATTCATTTCTCACACTGCTCCTCCGCTCCCTTCACTGGCTTCCAGTAACTGCTAGAATCCACTTCAAGACACTGGTACTAGCGTACCATGCTGTGAATGGATCTGGCCCTTCCTACATCCAGGACATGGTTAAACCATACACCCCAGCACGTGCACTCCGCTCGGCATCAGCCAAACGGCTCGCTGCACCCGCACTGCGAGGGGGACCCAAGTTCCCATCAGCAAAAACACATCGGTTTGCTATCCTGGCTCCAAAATGGTGGAATGAGCTCCCCATTGACATCAGGACAGCAGAAAGCTTACACATCTTCCGGCGCAGACTGAAAACTCATCTCTTTCGACTCCACTTTGAGCGATAGAATTACTAACAAAGCACTTATATACTAATAAAGTACTGGCTTATCTAAAGCCAGTTGAGTAGCACTTGAAATGTTTTGGCTCTATGAAACTTGATGAACTTATATGATTCTGTTTTCTTCAAGTTTGTATCTTCTTGGTCGAATGCACTTATTGTAAGTCGCTTTGGATAAAAGCGTCAGCTAAATGCAATGTAATGTAATGTAATGTAATTCGCATGGAATAGCTTTGATGGGAGGCAATTGAAGTTAAGCTAAAAATTAAGTGGAAAATAACTCGGGATTTAGCCGTAAACCCTCTGTGGAATTCTCCCCTGCATGACGCAAGTCTCCAAGTCGAAGAAAAACCGGGGCTTGGTTCCTTTCCAGAAAACTCTCCCTCATGGCTCCATTCATTCACCAGCAGAACAAGCTATGTGCACGGAAAATAAATAAATAAATACATCTGAAACACAAGCAAGGAGGAGAGAACATGTAGGCAGTCAGATGCGTTTGATCTGTTTGTAAAATAATGAATATACAGCACAGCGCTTCCTGGGAATGGAGCGCAGCTGCCGGGCATTTCCATGTGTTTCTGCACCTCAAATTGCCCGGCATCAGAGGGAAACATTTCCCTAATGAATTTAATCAGTGCTCCCGTTGTCACCGAGTTGGTCTTTTGTTTGTGCGCCTGGTGTCCACGGTCCAGCTGCTGTAGTGCAGCATATGTGCAGAGTGAAGATGACACTTCATGCAGCGTTTAGAGGAATCAGCTGCTAGGGCGGGGCCCCGGCTCCTGTTGAGGGTTGTGTTAGATAGTTGTGAGATGCAGCCCTAGAGAACTCCTTATTCTGCCTGTTTCTTCTTCTAACCAGGGCAGAAAAACAACATTATCTTAGGTTAACTTGTTTATTACCCAAACCCTACATTGTTGGCATGTATAACCCCCTCTAGCTAAATACATTCTTACTTAATTAACAGCCATTGTGTCGCAAATGGTGATTTCTGTTACATTCACTAAGGTTTTTGATTGTTTATATTTTTGCATTTGGTAATTGTTTATAATATTATTACCTATTGTGAGTTTGGTCACGTAAGTATGTGCGGTACTGATTTACAATCACCCGTATAAGATGTGTGGGAGAGCGGGTGAACGGGTCGCTGTATTTTCTATTGACTGCAATATTTTGTATGGATTAGTTGGATTATATGTTTGCACACTTTATAATACATTTATCATTAAATTAAATTAAGATTTTGTTCGAGGCATTTTTGGATCTTAGCATTCATTTTTTATCAATGCGCGTCAGACAAAGTCAACCCGGCCCGACCTCAGCCGCTCAGTGACTTTTTTTGTTCCTGTAGTCGCTACACATTGTTTTGCTCTCATATTTGATCAATAAACCATAAAATCAAACTGTTGGACTGGAAATTTGCTTGAGCTAAAAAAAAGGTAGCTTTTGGTCAAACTTGGGTTGTTTTTACAGGGTAACGCATGCAAGGGAAGTATCAATACTTTTGAAAAGTAATTCCAGACGGTGCATTCAAATGCTTGTTGAAAATTCTGATATCTGAGAGACGCTTGCATACCAACAATGCACCAATGAGCTATGCGTTCTGAAACCTATTAAATAATAAAAATAAGGCCTCTGATGCATTGGTGTTATGAAAAGGAATGGGTAGCTTTCAGCACAAGAAAGGCTGCAGTTCTCTGCCAAACTGCCTCTTTAGTCTCCAGTGTGGGACCTCGGAGCTTCCCACCAGCTGAGTGGGAACGGAATATCCCCTCAAGCCTTTTCAATACACTGTTTGTTTTTCACTGCATGTGCAATATCTCAACACGATGAATTCAAACAGTGGTGGAAGAAATGTAGCAAAATGTGTGATCATCAAAATAAACCTAAAGTACTAGGGGTTTCCCCAGGCATGCATTTACACGGGCGAATCTGATTGGTCAAGTCTTGCCTTTCTTCAAGGGATCGTCAATTGATGTTTGTTTCTTTTACTCATTGATTCCATGTTTAAGCTTGAACAAAGGCAACACAGCTGTTTGCAGTACTACAAAGAGGCATAAATCCATTATTAAAAGTATTCTTTCATTTTGAAACAGTAGCCATATTCTCTTGTTATTAAGCCTTTCTGAGGCTACGCTAAATGCTACTTTGGTGGTCCAGCTGATTTATTATTTATCCAAGCACACACCAGGCAGATTTATTAAAAGTAAATGTGTGATTCAAACGTTTATAGACAGTATT